AAACTTCGTTCTCCTATCAGATGAAGAGAATCTGGAATTTCGCAAATTAAAATCTCAGAACATCTCTTTGCTTCAATTATATAATTTATGAAACACAAAATATTTAAAGTTAAAATGACTTGCAACTGCGTTGGGATTAATTACTGTTGCCTCATTGTATACGTGGCTAATGATACTAACTACACTGTGCAACACTGCAACTACTTTCATCATAAACACTTACCTGCAGAACTGACTGAAGATCTCAAGTCAGATTTTGTATCTATTAGAGAAGTATTACTTTTTAACCTCCAACCCCTTATTGCTGCGGATACTAACAGCAATTGTTAAGCATTCAAGTCGTCAAATTTTGACGCTGTTTTTCACTTTAAGAAGGTCGAAATTAAAATTCGACAGGTTAATAAGTCGCTCATGACAAATAGACTCTATCAATATAAGTCCTAAAGTCGTTTTTAGTTCAGCTTCATATCCGATGCTAAAGGTGGGGGCGGGCGGGGGGAGGTGATGGGGCACTTGTACAGATTATTTTATTGCTCCGGTTTGAAGCACAAATGTCTTAAAAGTAATCGGGTCTATTTGATCCCCTGCACATCAACTACTAAATAAAAGTCTAATTATCAAAAAAGCTTTTGGTGAGAAATCAATACCGGCCAGAAATAGAGTGAAAAACGAAAATAAATCAGTCACTTTAGCTGCAGTACCCGTGGAGGGAACGTTTAGTCCTGCAATTTTTGATAAAAATAACGTATTAGAAAACCCCTCAGTTTCATCCCTGGTCATGACCACAATGATTTCTCGACTGTAACAATCGCAAGTCACTTACAGAATAGCATAATGAAAACCCTCTTTCGTTCTTTGCGTTATATAGATATCAAAGATTGAATTTGAGACAACAAAACAGTAAACAACCAGTGATTTTGAACCATGTGTCATAACAAAAAAGTACCAACCCAACCGTGCCGAGTGACATAATGCTGCTACATTATACCCTAAACTGAGCTAATGCTGTGTGGTGCTGTAAGTTTCAGGCCATGTCCCACACACGAACCAAGATTGTGCTTCTCCTTTATAATCCCTTATGTATACAAGGTGATAGTAATCGTGTGCTTCGAGGCGAAGTTTCTCCATTCCTTTAAGGTAAACACCTGTCTTGTATTGACCGGCGTTATCTGGAAATTATTGGAAAAAATGAACAAACTTAAGAGCCGTGAGCTTCGTACCGTTCTCTGTTTTTGAAGCGCGTTGCTAAGTTTCAACAGATCAAGCAATTTTGTGCTGCAATAGTGACTGTTAACTTAGGATTTGAAGAAGCCGCGAAGAAAATTTTCAAATGATTGTCACATCATTCTAACTTAGAAGGATAGCAAAACAATGCAAAACGATGTCATCTTGATAGTTCACTCTCTCCAAAGCCTGCTCACAGAAGTACTTTGTATCACAGGGAACAGTCCTAGGCCCAGTCTAGTTCTGTTCAGATCAATGCTCATTCGCACAGCCGTCTATCACCCTACCGCCCCCGTATGTACGCTTCTTCGTTGGTCATATGGGTGTTAAATTGGTCAAACATACTGCAAGGTAATAATCGATAGAGCGGGTTAAGTTATAGCCGGCTGTTTTATTTATTGAAAATACAAGCTTTTCCTTGTAACTTGGCTTCCACCGCCTTGTCGTTTAGTGAAGTCAATGCACATGGAGTACGTAGAAGCCAGATAGTGCGATCTATAGAATTGTACTGATTTTTTTTTCTTTCGATGGTCTTCTATCTATCTTTGAAAAAAATTATATCAAACAAATATATAGCAAGCTAAAACGATTTCATGCATTGAAGATTTCAAACAAGCGTCCATTTCTCCTTTTTTTCTTTCGCAAGGAAACGGCTACGCTTTGCCGAATCCCTATGATGATCTGTTTTCTTTGATGAATCTCTTTCTGTAAGTCCCCGTGACGTAGTTTCCTGGCGAGTCATGATATTACATACATGTTACAAGACATAGAACTTTTTTTCAGAAGAGCACCGCTATAAGTATAGTGCAGGCTCCATGCCAGAACAACATGGCGTCCAAAATGGCGGCACAACAAATCAATGACAACAGCAACGAGTCAGTGAGACCACAGTGAGACTGAAAGTTTTTTGCGCCTTAGACGGTAGTCCTTCATGGCCGAAGTGCCAGTTCTTCATCCTCTCTGAAATTTAGTAGTGGGGCGATTTCCTTCGTTGAAATGCTTTCAAAGTATTCATCAAGACGAGTGACACGCTCAGAGATCATAGCACATATGGCACAGGACGATTACAACATCAACTTTCTTTCTGATGGGATACATCCAAGAGGTCACCATCACCAAGGATGCGGTGTCCTGTACGGGACCGTCATGTAGCGGGTTTTGCTCTCATTCAACTTGGTGCTTGCACAAAATTTTTCATTTTCATCGTCACCATAACAGCTCACGAATGTCACCGCAGGCTGGAAACCGTGTGGCAGTCAGATTTGACACCTAAAAGTTTTTGGATCATCTCCTGTCGTATCAAGCGCTCTTGTGGCGGACGATTTTCAATGGCGATCACCGCAGGCTGGAAACCGTGTGGCAGTCAGATTTTGGATCATCTCCTGTCGTATCAAGCGCTCTTGTGGCGGACTTCAATGGCGATAATGTTAGAGATGTCCTTGCCGGTATGGAGGATGCCTACAGAAATGACTGCGGCACCCACCAGCTAATAAAGCAACTGATGGCTTTATCGCACCTCCCTGCTGACAAGATCGAACGCAGATTCTGTCGACTCCAGCAGCAAGCAACTGTCAGACCCTTGCAGGATTTCTGTAGCTACATCGAAGAGAACCAGTCAGACCTTCCCGCCACAGACCTGGAGCGTATTCCTGGAAGCGGTCAGGATCAATAACGACTTAGAGGGTTGGCACAATGGCTTGAACCGGCGCGCCAAAGGACGATCTCAGCTTCTGTTTTACATCCTAATCCAGGTGCTTCACCGGGAAGCTGCACTGGTCAGCATGCAAATCCGTCTGGTTTCAGACAAAAAGCTGAAGAGGCATCAGCACTCAACCTACAGGACCTTACAGAGAAGACTCTTTGACCTCTGGAGTGAATTCGAAAATGGCAATAGGAATTCAAAGGAGCTTCTGGAGGCATGCGCTCACCTCGTACAACCCATGTAATTTAAACTGAGTAAATGTTAATAAAGATAGATATTCACAAAAAAAACTCATAGCCACAAACTCATAAAAGTCAATGACCAACAGATGAACGTAACTTCTCCTTTACATAAACTAAGACTGGGGGCTAATCGTCCAGAGACTGGGGGTGTCTGTAATTGTCTGGGGCTAATTGTCCATGGGGCGAGTTGTCTGACATTCATCCTTGCCACTTCCTTGGATGGTCAGGTATCAGTTGTTGATGGACGGTCAGGTCTTAACCTTGCTGGATGGCCAGTAACTCTACCCAGAAAACTCTTATTCGCTGCACCTCTACTGGTATCTAGAACGTTTTATGTGGTTTCTATGAAAGGAAGAGCAACAGTTTTGTCGTAATATATAGAGATTCATGTAATTCCCACTCTGCTAGAACACAAATACAAAGGGTCTGGGGCATTTATTTTGGTGTATACCTTCAGTGTTCATTCCTTTGTGTTTCTTACTTATCCCTGATACTGCTGAAGAAATTTGTTGTCATCATGAGTAATGACTGATCTGAATTATATCCAGTGCCAAAATTTTCTGCTTTTACCCATGGTACACTCTTTTAAATTTCTATCCACATAGATTTTAACTGCCAGCTATTTTTGACAATGAAATATTGCTTCTAAAGTACTTCCCAAAATACACTGGCATACATTATGTTGAGCTTTTTAACTTAAATATGTTATCTCCATATCTAAATGAACAAGTTAGTTGTAAACGTAACTCTTTGTTTCTTGTGCCATTTTTTTTCCCTTCTCACAGCCAGTTGGCTGTATCAGAACAAGGATTGTCATCAGAGGATCTTCAAAATTATTTGGGAAGTGCCATAATTGTGTTCAATCTTCACACAAAACAGCTTGTGTTCTTGTCAATTTTGCATGTGTCCAGGGTAAGTAACTCTTTGTGTTTGTACAGTTTGTGACTGACTTATTATGAAAAATCACAGACTTTTACTTTACTTCTGAATAAGATTTCTATCAGCTATGGTGTTGAGGACTTGTGTTTCAATGGAAATGCATTAATTAGTTTTTGGCTGCAATGTACAGTATTTGGTGGCAAATCTACCGGAAAGATCAGACTGATTTAAAAAAACTTTAAACTAGTTTTGGTTTTATATCCATCCAACTTCTTAACCTCTCAAGGAAATTTGTACCTTACCATATATACATGTAGCATTTCAGAAGGTTTAAAAGATTATGCCCCTGTTTCTGATTGGAGGAATTAATCATTTTGTTTCTTTCAATCTGCTTTTATGAGGCCATTATTATAAAAATTGGCGGCTTCATATTTCTGTGAAATAAGATCTCTAGTTTTATTCTTCATTCATCTAGTTTCAATCTTATCGAAAGGCACAATACAGTACATGTAGAACTCCACTAACTCAAACTTTAAAATCAAACATTCAAAGATTAACCATCTTTTTTATAATGTCACAATCTCTATATGGAGTGATGTTTCACTGTTGTTCTGGATGTTGATTTTCTGAATCCTTCTCTGATGCGTAGAGGTTTTACAATGTGTTTGTTTTGTGCTGGATGAAAAAGACTCTAATTGTTTTGTCATCATTAAGGCACAGCTTACAGCCATTACGTGTAGGAGAGCAATTTGCAGTTTTAGGCTGTCTTCTTAAAATTTGATGTGAACTCAAATTTTTGGAACTTTGCCAACATGGTGTTCTATGTACATTAAGAATTTACTTGAATAAATTCACTAGGCTGGAATATTCAAAATGAGTCATGTACAACAGAGTGAAGAATGCTAATAATGAACATAATTTAAGATTTTTTTTTGTTCAGCAGAAGCCTAGTCAGTACCCTGCTTATGCTCTGTCCTCTGGTTCTGCCATTCCAGGAGGTGGGATTGTTGTGGGAACATCCTCAGGAACTGTTTACTTTATGAAAAGCTCCTTAAATGAACCTTTGTCCCTTAGTACCATGGACAGTGTACCTGGCCAAGTAAGTAAATATTTGAATCCCCTTAATCTATGATAAGTACATGTTGAGCTCCAGGCTGGAAACTTCTAGTTTAGTACAAAACCTTTTTGTGAAGTGTTTATTTTTTCTCTTGAATTGGAGACCTATCTTTTGCTGATATTTATTACTTCTGTGTAACTTGTACAAATGACTAGAATTTAAAATGAATCTTGAATTAAAATGTAAAGGTCATGAGAATAATTGAAATGATCACCAATTATTAGAAGCCAGTCACTCTAAGGGGTTTTGATACTGATAGCTGCTGATTATATACATCTGGGCAATTGCAATACAGGTATCCTTATTTAAATATATCATTTTCAGGTCATTATATCAGATGTGAATCAAGATGGCTTATTAGAAATTCTAGCAATAGACAACAGTGACAATATTGCTTGCAAGGATCTTAATGGGAAAATGGTTTGTGCTGTTATCTTAATTTCCTCTCTGATAAAATGAAATGTCATTGATACGTTACATTCTGCAACAAACATTTATGTTCCCCCATAGAATTCTATTTTAGACCTTCATTTTGAAGCCTTTTGGAGATGCAGTAGACTATTTGAATCTCTGATGGGCCCTTTATTTTAGAGATTTGTTCCAACAAACAAATTGCTGTAGATGGCATTAGATATTTGAGTCTTGGAGTTGGTCCACTTGCCTAGATCAAACCTTTTCCTTCTCAAGATCTGACATCAGCATGTTTGAAATTCTCTTAACTGATGATCCAACAGTCCCTTTTCAACACATGTTGATAGGTCATTGTTGTACAGTGTGTATCATGAAAATGTGCTTTGACTGATTAGTTTTTACTTCTCTGTCTACCTGATCATTTGCAAGTGCAAAGAATTTAGCAAAAACTTTAGTTTGGCTATAATTCACACATGATGATGTTCCTAACAGTTTAACTCCCAAGATCTGATTGGTAATTTCTCCCTCTAGCTGCTACACATTTCCTTTAAAATTAGTAAAGAGAATATGGTGTTAGAATACAAAAAACAACTTCTATGTGATAAGTTTAAGTACTCGCATTAACTTTTTGCTAGATAGTGTATGGATATTATAGGGAGAAGTTACCTCTCAATCACTTCTGGGAGTTAAAGGGTTAATTCTCATTACATGATTACAGTATAGTGTTTAGGAATTATAATAAGAATTCACATACTGGTTATTTCTGAGCATGGAATGGTTAGAGCAGTGCAGCCAACTCCCCCTAAGAAAAGAGCAATCAGGAAGGATTCTAATTGTCCATCTTAGACAGGTGTCTTTGTTTCAGTGACTCCTAAGTCTCAGTAACACAGAAGGACATTGAGAGTCATCCATAAAGGAAAAAGTTGTCAAAGAATGAAGGGAACTCATTATCTCCTAGGGCTGATTCCTAATGACCATAAAAGGAGGTTTGACCTCCCTACAGAGGTTACCATAAAGAGAGAGTTGTCTGTATTTTTTGATTACATTTAAATTTCAGTGTTTAACCCTTTCTGCTCCCAGAAGTAATTGACATGTTACTTCTCCCAATAATATTAATACATCATCTAGCAAATAGCTACTGAGAATACTCAAACTTATCAAGTAGAAGTTGTTATCTTTGTTAACACCCAATTCTTCATAACTAATTTACAAGAAAATGTTACCAGTGAGAAGGGATAATTAACAATCAGATTTTTGGAGTTCAAGTGTTAACATTTCGTTTAGGTGTGGGAGGCCACAGTTTCCAGTTCAAGTGCTTCAGGAATCCGTGTTGCTGATGTGGATGGAGATGGTTTTATGGAAGCTGTTGTTGCTACGTTTGATCATAGTTAACCGATTAACTATGGTTTGATGGGTGAGTTGGACTGTAAAATTCACCTTCAATACAACAAGCCATTCATATGGTATTTATGATTGAGAAAAAAACATCGCTATCGAATCTGTTCTATTACATGTAAATTTTGTTTTTTCCTCGGTGAGTCTTTGTGAAACGTGAAGATTACGATGCACTGGTACATGTAGGGAGAACTCACTTGATAGGAAAGTGCGACATATTAGAACCTCCATCCCTTCACTAGGTCTGGATGAAAAACAGGTCTAAGAAATTGCACAATGAACAAATCAGAAGGGAAAAAAGATAAACAAAAACCTTTTTCGTGAAATTGTGATGTACCTCTGACGAACACCAGCTGGAAAAATATACGGCTTTATTTCTTAAATTGGCTTGTGTCAATCGCATGCGAAATCATTATTTAGCATGTTTACAATAGGGACACGTAATTCAATTTATCAAGCTATAACTATAACACGTGATGTACTTAAAACAGGTATCTATGGGTTCTAGAAGGAGACAGTGGTAAGGTACTGGACGGATGGCCTGTCAAATTACCAAGTGAAGTACGAGCCACAGTTCTGGTTACTAAAATAGTTCCTGGAGAAAGTTGTGTTGCAGATATAGTAAGTAACCTTTGAATCGCGAAGATTTTGCCACATTACGAAGATCACCTGCTACCCAAGTGAAGTGCGAGACACAGTTCTGGTTACTAAACTAGTTCCTGGAGAAAGTCATAGCTTCTCTCCGTGTCTAAAAACGTGTTTTTTATGTGAATTTCTATGAATAAAGGTAACCATGAAACATGGATTAGAGCCATGCATCTTAAGGAGAAGCAGGTCAAGTTGCCCCGTGTTATCACTATGTGACAAGTTGATCCACATCCTTCCTTAGGTAGTTCCCCTGGTTAATGGCCAGATGGCGATCATACGGGGTATTGATCGCTGCACAGAACTGATCAATGTTGGTAAGACTGAGCTGGTGAGTGCAGTTAGCGCTGTGGGAGGACAGGTTGGAGCTGGTGCTAGGGGCTGATGATGGGACCCTGTCGTGTTTAGGAAATGCGCCCAATGCACCGACAGATAATGGAATTTCCGGCGTTTGAGTGGATACGAATTAGCCGGAAATGAAATATTTCTGGACAGGGGTAATTGAGGTGCAGCATGAGTAGAATGGGGTGCTATAAAAGGGATGTTTATCACGTGGAGAAGCATTCTAGGCCGACACCTCGTCTTGCTCACTTTAATTTTTAGTATATGTTTGATTTACTAGTGACAGTTCGAGTTTCGCAGGGGTTTCTTAGCTTGTTTGCGTTTCCTAAAATTATTTAGAGTTTTCGGTGCTTTGTTGGAACACATGTTCAGTAAATAAGGGTAAAGACCTTCCAGCCGTGTAGCCTTCCTAGGATGGGCTTTTCAGAGCATGAGCCATGGATCCTACCCAGATTTCCTGCCGAGTTTTCTGGCCTCTGTTCTGACTGTATTCCGTGTAAACTGTCGCTCAGCTCTGTTCTAGTTTTTCCACCAAATGTTTGAATGTAACAGAGGTTGTTGTATAACGTATTGTTATATGTGCGGTGCTCGGCCGAAACAGCCATAATAAACCTCATGGTTTTTCTAATTCATGTTGTACTGCGCAGTGAAGCCGAAATGGTATGTACTTACTAATAATTTTGTTTCTCGTTTGTCTCACGATGTAGTCACATGTGATGTAGAGCGATCCACATCACACGTGACTACATCGTGAGACAAACGAAAAACTGAGCTTTTATTGTTATTCACCACGATGAATAACCACAACTTTTTCTACGAAATTTTGTTTCTGTTTGCTTTTGTATTTATTCAATCAAATATGAAAATTAGATTTTTAAAAATCTTTGGCTAAATTTAATAGCTAAATCGATCAAAGTCTGACGACATCAGTGAAGTTTTTACCCACAATATTGCCTTTAACAACACTCGTGCAACACTCCATGTAAACTTGCACATGAATTGAATCGCTTCATGTATTTAAATTACCAGGGAAGTAAATTGTATTCTTACGGGTGTTACATATCAAGGATCCATAGGAATCATATTAAATTGCTGAAAGAACAGCTTTTTACGACTAATAACTATTATAATAAAGTTCGGATATAACGCGCGCTGTCATTGGTTGAAAGAGCGTGCTCTATGAGAGTATAGAGCATAGAACTGAGCTAAAGCTGTCACGCCATCTGTCAAATTGTACTATGTTCGACCTTTTCCGGGACTTCTTTTTAGCTTTTTTCCGATAATTGAAAGTAAAATTTCGGAACAAGCGAGCCGGCAAGTAGTAACAGAAGAACCAAAGAAAGGTTTGTAAACATACCAGGCGCCGTTATTTACGTTATTAAAACGTGGGCAGATACGAAAATCCTCAAAGGAAAGACAAAATAGACATTCCAAGTTTGAAAGATTTTCACGCTCAGTTAGATTGCAAGCTTACGTATGTTGAAGTCCTAAATGTAATAAAGTCCTAAATGTAATAACATTTAGTCCTAAATGTAATAAGCCTCTAATGCAATCGTTTAACTCCTGCAGTGCATTGTTGTTATGGCGGACATCCACATGACCAGTATACATGCCACATTATGGGCCCGCTGATATCAATCAGCGTCTTTTTACTTGCTAGACATAAGAAATATCAGCAGTCGAAGTATGGTCCTTATAGCGGTTTATTGATCGAGTTGAAGAAAATCATTTCCAGCCCAAAGTGGGCAAGTGCTTGGCTGGAAGCTCAATAGGATGGAATCGATTGGTACGTAACTGTTAAGACTTTTTGGAAAAGAAATTTACTACAATTGATGATGAACTAGCATGCTATTGTTGATGTTATCGTTCGTGTTAAAGTCTTTAGAAGTGATGCACCATTTTAGAGCAGTTTGAATGATTTCGCTGTGTCACATGTTAATCCAAAAGAAAATTATTATTACAGTAGCGTTATTGAAATTTTGCACATCAATGTTATTCAGTATCAATTGATTCTAATAAAGCATTTGAGTTCTTTTTTAAGAATGAATATCCTGATTTATTCAATTTTGAACCTGGGGTGTTGTATTTCCAGCTCTCTATGGCTTTACTCCACCTCAGTAATCAGTTCATGTACCACATGACTATAAGTGGAAACTGTTGAGCTTTCTTTTTTCATTCATCTATTTGTCTATTCATTTTCTCCCCTCAGGTGAGAAGAGGTGAAGACAAAAAATGAAATATAAACTTGAGATCAACTTTAAAATGTATGTTTTCCTAATATTTCGGTTCGGGAACTGATGAACCCGTCATAAGGGGCTAAAGGAAAAAATGAATGGTTCATTAGACCGCCAACTGACCACCATGTGTTGAATGGTGTAGCTCAATGGTTCAATTTGACTCTTGCGTGGAAAAAGGCAACATGTCGAGACCTGTGATCGTGAAATGGGATAATATATCATTGGTCAGTCGATATCTTGCTCTGCAAGTCACATTATCATATAGCTAGCAGCGCACGCGGTCAAGATGAAGTGAATCCTGTAGTCTGATTGGCTACCTGAGCGGGCATGATGGGCCCACCCTCGCCCGTTCGGGATCCCCCGTATTGATCCCACGCAAGAAAACTTATAAAGTTCGTAACTTTTGGACAATGTTTTCATATATACATAGAAAAAATAAACGACCCTCTTGGGTTTATTGTGCTGCAAACACAGTTGGCTTTCACTATCGGCTCTCGAAATAAACAGGCCATTCTTGATTCTTATCAAAGCGAAATCTTTTGCTATACAATGAATCCTTTAATGATTAAGCCAAGAGAATATAAACTATCTCGTATGGTCAAGATTACTGGATATTAGCCTCGTTCTTTTTCTACTTTTTTATGGACCGTGACTTCGTCTCAGTCCATAAAAACGCAAAAAAAAAAAAGAACTCGGCCAATATATAGCCATTTTGACCTCACGTTCGGTCAATAACGCATATGGATATATTTTATGCAAACCCGTACAAATCTGGCAAGGGAAGACAGTACAAAAAATGTCCTTCTGAGCCCAGAATTTGTCTAACGTATAAGCCAGTGGACTTCTTTTTCCTTGTAATTTGGTTCATCAAGTGTTAACTTCAGCACTTAGGACAGAAGTATTTCGTCAAAATCTGTTACACTTAAGAGTTTGAGCCAATGATATAGAGAGAGCTATTAGTCAACGTTCTCGTTGCTTCTGCGTCCGTCAATTTGATGCCAAAAGCACATCAGTATTAGAATAAGGTTTTGTAGCCAATGCTTCTCAACCTACGTCTTTAACAAATAAAAAGCCGCTGATTAATATCAGTGAGCCCGCAATATTCCATAAATATTGGTCAGAGGATTCTTTGGTGCAACAACTGTCACTTTAACATCTCAATGTTAGCGCAGTTAAACGATTGCATAGGAGGCTTATTACATTTAGGACCGAACGTTATTACATTTAGGGCTTTATTACATTTAGGACCAAATGTTATTACATTTGGGACTTTATTACATTTAGGACAGTTATTACATTTAGGACTTCAACAACGTACGGTAATGAAAATCAAACACAGCTAACACTCGTATAGTATATAAAGTTCAGTGTTCAAATACAAAACTGAACAAAACAGAAATGATGAAAAATATAACCAAACTGGCATAACTGTTAAAATTCATTCTAATCATGACGGTGTCTGCGCGAATATGATCATGCTGAAGTCCATCGCGGCTCGCTTATCATGGCGATCTCCGGTCATCACAGTAAAGCAAGCCTCAGAAACTACATCGGCCGCCCTTCGAGTAAAAAAATAAGAGCTTGCTCTGATATCCTTTCCGATGCATTGAATGGAAAGTCACATCAGTCACTGCAGCCGAGTTTTGCCGTGCTGTCATCCCGAGCGATCTTCATGTTCCGGTGAATTCGGCTGTCGTTCAGGTTGCATGCAAATTGGTTACAAAAATTTTGCTCTGGCAAAGAAAGTTTACGGACTTCATTTAAAAAACAACTTATCACACAAAACACAAGTTTGGAGAATTAAGCATACACGTGTACGACTGGAACTTAATTCGACGACTTGATACAAAAATTTCCTTTGAAACACATAGCAGTTTTGAGTATTGCAAAGTCGCTTATAGTGAATATTTGAGGAGTTACAAACGGTCTACGGACGGCATTTAGTCTAAATTAACGAGAAGATTCAAAATGAAGACAAACATTTCATTTTGCCAACACAAAATCGATCCTTACTGGGAAAAACTAAGGGCTGTTCTCGAGACCAAGAATCATAATGTTTTCCCAATATAGCCCTTTCGTCCACTTAATAACAAACAGATGTACCTTGCATGTAGAGAGCTTTGAAAGCACTGTCTATGTGAAAAGTTGTACTGATACAATAGCCCTACACCTCTATTATCTGCTAAAACTTTGGACAAAAAGATGTAAAACTCTTCACAACGGCCATTTGCAGACAATTGAAGCATCAAAATATTAATGATATTGGTTTCAATATATTTGTAAACTATATACTGGGAATTATATTAAAATCACCTGAACGTACCTCACTTCTTCACAACATTTCTACCCAAATGAATTACTTCGGTCCTTTATCACATCGAATACGAGGCGTTTCAAACTTGTTTTATTTTGTCCTAATAATTTCGCTGTTATTTTTGTAAACTAACCCGTTGCCACCTTGTTATGTTTTAAATCTCTTTCTTTTTCTGGGACAGTTTTAATGGCCACTTCAAAGATGACATAGCACAACTGAATGTCTTCTGTTGATTCTTCGTGCGGTTGGACACAAGTGAATGCAGATGTACTGCTAACGATGATGACGGGGAAAAAGCGTTCGCAGTAAATGAAAATAAAGACGACAGAGGACATAAACTATGTGTTTAGTTTTGTACCAGCTGCGCCCCACGTTCTCGGTCTCGTTTTGAAACCAGAGTAACATTCAGTGCATAAATAACGATATTGTCTTTGTTACGAGACACTTTTTTGTTATCAATCCTACAGTTTTCATTTGCAATCTATTATTTCCTACGCAGATGCTGAGATAGCCGATAAACATACCGAACAAGTTATTTAATCGCTAAAAAATGCGACAATCACTTTAATTCTTACACGAGAGTTCTTTCACTGCAAGTCTCCCTTCAAAGTCTCTCTGATTATTCAGTATTGCTAGTACAGCCAATCTATCAAACAAAAACTAGTAACAAGAGAATATAAACCGTCCCTAAACTATAGAAAAGCAGTTTCTGGCTCCCTAACCAGTCCATTTTGTTTCTTTAGCTGAAAGCTTTATCGCATGATTCTCAAAACTTTTTAAATCCTTTTCTTGGATGAAAACAGAACACAGAACAGCTTTCCGGGCCCGTTAAGTTACAGGGTTTTTTGAGAAATGGGCCACCGGTGTCAAATGTGGGTTGAGTTTGTCGCTGGTTTTCGTCCTTGTTCCAAGGGTTGTTCTCCAGGTCCTCAAGTTTTCCCTTCCACCACAATATTCTATATTTCAATTCGACCTAGAAACCGAGGACAAGAATAGCCACCTTACGGAATGTCCACTGCCAATTGACAAATCGTCATTGGTTTAGCGTGTTCTGTATTCTTATCCAACATTTTTTATCACAGTAGTCAAAATGTTGTGGATTCACGAGGCGCTCACTCTTAAGCTATCGAGTTCAGCACCCGAAGCTACCCGCGCCTGTGTGCTATTATTCTGAAGAAGCTTGTTCGGCAAGGATGGCTGGATATTACCCTTGTTCTTTTTTTGAGCTTTTGTGGACCTTGATTTCGCCTCGGTCCTTAAAAACACGAAAAAAAAACTCGGGGAATATTCAGCCATCTTGACCTTACCATTGATCAGTAATGCTGTGTAAAAGAGGTTGTAGTTATTCATCGTGGAAAATAACAATAAAAGCTAAGTTTTTCGTTTGTCTCTATCCTGGCGTCATTTTCCTAACAATAGGAAGCGATTGGATGACAAAGGGCTAACGCTCTTCACGGTGGCCAATTCACGTTCTCAACTCAGTTGTTAACACTAAATTACCAGCCAACAGTGGTTTGGTCACTCGTGTTTTCACGTGATTATTTCATTGTTTGGAATTCTTCTGGTATTTCTGTGATATTTTTTTTGATCTGATCAAGTAACTACTTGGTTTGTGGTTTCAGGACATGTTATCGCCAAAATTATTGGGTGTTTATTTTGACATTATTCATTTTTTCGCCTTTGTCGCTTTTTCAATTTTTTGACAGAGCAAGTTTCTCTTTGTTTGGGTCATTCGTAGAAGTTCTTTACCGTAAATTTTATTCATTCGGCTCTATCGTTTAACTTGCACTGTGCCATCGTTTTCTTCATCGTTTTATGTTATCTTTAACCAGCCAGCATCTCGTACAACTTTTGTAAGTGTCTTTAGATGTCATTCATTTTGTTTCCTGTTTGTCGATTTCTTTACGGGTTATTATAGGTAACTTGTTACTTGTTATTTTATTTTAGCCTGCTTCAAATGTTCATTTCGCTCCAATTGTTACCTTCGCCTCCATACTTCAGTTTGTTTCGTTTGTTGAGGAATGTTTAAGAGAGTGTGTTGGACAAATACAAGTGATTTTGGCCTCAATAGGACTCTTACTCGAAAAGTTCTTGTGACTCGACCAAGTCGATCCTCCTTTTCTCGCACTGTTGCTACCGCGGCGTCGTTCATTAACGCACTCTGGCTGAGCTGAATGGAAAAAGGCTGGCAAATCGAATAAAAAGGAAATCCCCCGTCTCTATTCTCCCCCCCTTTCCCCTTCCTACCTCCAGGGTAATTTTTAGAACAAATTTTGTTGTCTGTCACTCGCACAAGCCCGCGATCAGCACGGCAACGGCCTCGAATTTGGTTGTTCGTTCCCGCTCTCTTTTCGTTTGAAAAAGTAGGTGCGTAAGAGGGGTATGTGACCATTGGAAAAAGATATGTCGACCCTCATACGTTTTTGAGAGAAAAGGCTCATTTCGTTGTGGAGAAATTTGAAATCGAAGGCTTTTGGGGAACTAAAGCCCCTCTATCGCTTAATCTCTCTAACATTATTTATTGAAAGAAATCTCAGTATTTAGAGAGAAATAATTCACGTCCTTGGCAGCTGGTTGAAAATAAAGAAGCTACAATTGGTGCCGAACTTTGCGGCAGAAATTTATGCAAATTTATTAAATGTTTCACAGAAAAACGCTAAAACGACGTAAAAAATGACTTTGCGTAAACGGAAATGGATGGTTAAAAGCCGCCGTGGAGCCCATTCTCAGAGTCCCATACCCAGTTCACTACCGCAACATTCTTACTTCACTATCTAGATCGATGAGGGCGCCTTCGCACTTAGCCTCGTCCTCGCGCCGTAATTTCGGCACCAGATCACTGAACCGCGTGAACATTGAATGTTTGCAGTGAATGTTCGAATTGGATATTCGCATTGAATGTTTGGATTGAATGTTTGAGTTGAATGTTTACACTAGATGTTGGAATGCTGGAGTTGCGTGTTTGCACCGAATGTTCGAATTGAATGTTTACATAACATAACTGTTCGATTTCTGCTAGAAAGCTGCAGCAATAAATTGAAGCAGATCAAAATAGCCTCTTCTGCCAAAGAGCGCAAAAATTATTTGAGGATAAATTACAAACAATTAAGCAAATTTCCAGTACCAAAAATTTAGAGTGCTTGCAAGCACAACTTCTTCAACATTTAAGAGCTCTCGTTCGGCGTCCGCATGCAGCCTTGCCTCAGTTGTTTTGATGTCACCATTTGATCATTGTTTCACATCTTGTTGATTCGTAGCAAGGGCTTACTGTGGTTTGCGAAACGAAACGAAACGAAACGAAATTGAAATTCTAAATTTGTGGGATGAACTCAAAATTTGCAATTTTTGAAATGAAAATATGTAATTTGCGAAATGGAAAATCTGTAGTTTGCAAAATGGAAATCTGTGGTTGCAGAAAATTTATGGCTACCAGCCAGAAGGGTGAATCGATCACACTACCAGTGTGGATTGCATACGTAATCTAACAAATGATAACATCCATGGAAAGTGCGTAAGGAAAATCTTCTTGGTGTACTTTGCGAATTATTCACTTAAACGTTTACGATGAAAAATTCGAATGCGTGACATAGCACTTGATTTGAATTGCAAGCATTACGCATTCATCCTCAGCAGGAAAACACATCAGTAATCTCATGCCATTGCCTTTTTCTACCACAAAAACCTTCAAAGATGGAATGAAATCAGAAAAAAAGGTGAGATTGGGGTTCCAATGTTAATAAAAGTTAATATTATGTGGAATGAGTATCCAAATTGAATGTTCGCATGGAATGTTTGAATTGAATGTTTACATTGAATGTTCGACATGCATATTTACATTGAATGTCGGAATTGAATGTTTGAATCGAATGCAAGTGTGATTTATACATTTGAATACTCAAGGGGAAAGTTTCGATAAAGGATGTCAAGTTTAAATCAAACAACCGCTTATTCGAGGATAACATTCAAATGTTACATGAAGGGTTTGAGGATTATCATCAAATGTTTAACCTAATTGACTGACTATTTGTATTTTTGGAGCGCATAATTAAATGTTTGAATCACAAGTTGAAAGTTAACAGCAAATATTGCACAGCACAAGTTAATGTTTGAATGTTTGAATTAACATTGATCAATTGAATTTTGGCGATGTTGGAACGCCATGTTTGTCTTTGCAAAGATCCTTTACAGGGGAAAGCGTACTCCGACATCTGTCAGAAGGAGGTCATCTCGGGTAGATTTCCGATTACGAAATCCGAACTCGCCCGATGTTGTCTTCTTGATGAAGGCCCTATTTAGCATATTAGACCCGCAAAACAGAACAGAAACGAACACGTGCTTCGTTTTCGCTCATGACTTCGTATTAGCGTCAAGATATTGGTATTTTTTTCCGTTGCTTACCTATATTACAGACTCCAAAAAATTTTTGCGATGCCTCCTTTTCACGGATGGCCGATTACAACTACAACATAGTGACACCTCCACGAAACTTTACAGGACATGTCCGGAAATTTGATATGCGCGTGGCTTATTGTCTTGTCTGCTGGGTCACCAATCAACGCAGTCACGGAAAAATTTATCATGCAATCCAAGCGTGCCACGTCAACAGTCTAATATGCAAATTACAGCATTTTCGGTTTTTGCCGACGAGAAGAAATGGGCAGATATTCTTGTAATCGGGAAGGAATAAGAGGATCTTCTCCATCACATATCATGAAAAACTCTACCAAGTGTTGTATTAACCGTATCATAACATGCTTGTCGCCAGTAAGGGCGGAAGGTAAGTTCAACCAATTGAAATTTGCCAAACTTTCGGTTTTGTATCCACCGCTGAGTTGGAACACGCCTCAGATTAAATGAGATTTCCCAAGCCTATTTGACATAAACGCTGTAACTAACTGCTTAAAATGCATGGTTAAAGTAAGATTTTAGCATTCGACTTCCCCACTGCTTTTCCTAAATTTGTTTGTTGCCTCAAAAGGGGAAAACATTTTCAGCGACTTTGTGCACCGTGCAACAGCTTTCAGTGTCATGTCTGCCCGTAACTCACTTTATCTCGATTACACTATTTCGTCGTTAACCGACGCTCCTGCATCTTAGAGAGTTGTTATGTGTAAATCTGCAAGAAAAGATTACATGTCGCCGATAATCGTGATGTATCGATAGGGTGGTTACCTTAACTCTAAACATTTCCGAATTTCTTAATGATTCCGATCCCGACTACTGACTATTGCTTGACTATTGGCCTTATAGAAACGTGATTTTTATTTCATTTTACAGTTGTGAATGACTTGCGTCCTTCAATATCAGCTGTTTAACTTTTACATAGTAAAGAAGGTTATTTCGAATATAATTAAGTCAACGGACATGTTTAGGCACGAAGTAATTCAATTAATGGCGACCTTGAGCAGTCAGGACGGCAACGCCAAGGAAGACTTCGATTAAAAAATGAATTTCTGCCTTTAATTAGAATTTTGAAAATGGCTGCATGTGTTTACTGTCTCGTGCGGCGCCACGCCTCAACTTCAGCATAACGTTTGAAAGAAGCGTTGAGTTCCAAATGGAAATTAAAATAATTTGCCGTCGCGGTTTCGGTTCGCAGAAGGCACAAATTGTGGTGATATCACGTTGTTATTTTGCGTAGGACGGCTAAGAAATGTACAAAGTTTTAAAACGCATGTGTTGAGCCATTATTCTTCCAATAAGATCTTTTGTTTTTCCATGTCCTCGTTGCCGTCGCCGTCGTGGTTTTCTTAAGGTCCCTAATGGTTATGTTTGAACAACCACTGCAAATGCCGTGAAAGCGACACATGTTGCACCCAGTCCCTTTCGCAATAATGAGTTAAAGTTGGTGACATTACTAGTTAAAAAGTGCGCTCTTTGCTTCTTAAACCTCAGCTTTGAACAGCGGTTAAAGCTAATATGAGTGGAAATTGTGTCAGAATAATGGAAGCCATTCGCCGACGTAATATTTGTTTCATTGTTTAAAATACTGCGAGCGAAGGCAGCCCGACTGTCTAGAGTGAAGCGTCACGAGAGCGAAATCTGGACAACCACTTCAACGTTTGCCGCTAGTAAGCGGAAACACTCGTTATACTTTTGAGATTCGAGTTTGTTCCTGTGGTGAAAAATCTACTCAAATTTTTCAAAATCCATAACATTATTGCGTATTGATTGCGTTAAAAATATTGACGCGAAATCACTCTTGTGTTTCGTAAGTTTTTCTTCGTTTAGTGAGTTTGTAATGGTAGCGCGAAAAATTGTGAATCGTACATGATAAGCCATTATCCGCGATGAATTTCTTGTTACTTGTGTCAATTTTCAATTTATAGCCGATACAAAGGCCGCTAAAGTGAGACGGTAGGACCGTGAAATACTTTCGTCTTTCTCCTCAGAGAGATTGGGAAGATTGCAATTCCGGTGAAACAAAACAAAAAAACAAAACAAAAAAAAAGGCAAAGATCTTGAAGCAATACCAAAGAAATAATGTCATTTCAACTTTAGCACTTCAAATGTAAGCATTTCGTTTTTCGTGTGGAATATCCAAAGACCCAGTTTTAGTTGGGCAATTTATTACAGCTGTTGCTTCGCTATAATTCATCTTGGTATGCTGAGACTTCTAATGTTGCCAGTAAGTACTTTTAACCGATAGAAGAGGTAAATTGTTTTATTTCTTATACCCCTTTAAGGAAACATTATTCTATTTAAATCACAGGTCTCTCCCCCACCTAAAACCCCTGAGCCTAGATTTAATTTGAAATTGAAGGCCTTCCCTGTTTTTACTACATACAATTTCAACAACCTCAAACTTGACACAGAAATAGATTCTGCAAAATCTTGCACCCTATCTCCCATAACCAGGTGTGCCTTTCTGTTTGACAAAGACAATTTTTCTTTTTTAAATGATTCAAACAAAGGTGGATGGTGCTGGAAAGAGTACGCCACTGCTGGCTTAGTAGGAGGTGTAGCAGCAGTAGTTGGAGCCCCTATTGTTCTTTCTGTCACAGGATTTACAGCTACAGGTGTTGCTGCCGGTTCCATTGCCGCTGGCATCCAGTCTGCAGTGTACGGGGGAGCTGTGGCTTCAGGCAGCATATTTGCAGGACTTCAAAGTGCTGGTGCAGCCGGCATGGGAGCCAAGGCAACTATGGCTCTCTTTTCTTCGGGAGCTGCGGTGACCACCTATATCAAGAATAAGGTTGCTCCATGAGCAGAGGGATCAAAATGTTCTTCAGACCCCCCATGAGTAATTTGTACAATTGAATGACTTTCATGTATTAGGAACATTTGTAATTGATTGCACATAGCTATAGGTGCATAAAATTACATCAGTGTTTTTTAGGAAATCAAATACTGTGTACATAAGTATGTAATAATAACATGTTTCTTTTTTGGGCTGGTTTTTCTGTGGTCAGAAATATCTTAAAACATCAGCAGGGCTATTCAAAACCAAAATGTAATTTGAGGCATCACAATTTCAAAAAGTATGTAAAAGTAAACACATTCCATGCAGTCTGCTAAAGCTGAATGAAGGAAATTGAAGATATAATTCAGTTTTTCACAAACAGTTCTCCAGTTTCCTACTGTGTTATAGAGAGGACTCCTAGAGAATATATGTGGATGAAATACTTCACAGAGCAGATGTTTTCATAAAAAGGATGCCAATTTTCTTGATGAGGAGAGAAAATTAATAAAACAGTTTTTGAGCTAAGATAGACAGGGTTTGTTTTAATTAGTCTGAGGTTAATTTGGTGATCATTACATTGATTAACTTTTTTGTTTGCATACCATTAGTTTAAGTTCCAAGACAATAAAGTTAGGGTCCTTAAAAAAACCATTGAAAAAATAAATGCAAAAATGAGATGTGTCCACATATACAGTGGACTGGCACGATTCTTTCATTACAAAACCAAAAATTGAAACATGGCAATTATCCTACCAAGTAAGCTTGACCAAGAAGGGCTCCATTGCATGGTAAAAATTTTACACTAATGATTTGCAAATTAAGTTCACAAATCATCACAGTTTTCTTTCTTTTGACTTTCTCTTTCTGGTCCTGGCTTTGTCTTGTCATTTTGTCTCCTTTTGAATGTTTTACAATGAGATGTTAACCCTTTCATCACAGAGTTAGGTTGAAATGGGGTTTGGTTGTTCAGCATGTAAAATACAGTTGTGTGCTTGGTTGCCAAGCCTTTTAACAGGAGTGAGGCTAAGGGTGACCTTGTTATGTTACAAACCTTGCTGCTTTCCAAATGTAAATTGTCCTGTTATTATACTAACTAGATATTGGTCTCTATCACAACAAGCTCACTTTCAGCCTCACTCCAAATCAAAGGCTTTGCAACTAAGTACACGACTGTGAAGTGGCCCATTGAGCACCATGCCGAAAACAATAAGACGAACAAATTATGATTGATTTGGCAATCGGAGTCAAGTGGTTACACAATATTTGTCACACAAAATACGTCAACGTCGAACTGCATCAACCTTCTGTTTCAATTTTTAGCAATCATCAAGTGTTACTTTTGAATAAAAAAAATTGACTGCGAGAGGAATATCAATGTATCCAGTGATTGCGTGCGAGAATTGAGTAAAGAGGGAGAATTTAAGTCAGTTTTACGTGACATGCATGTATGAGTTTTCTGAGTGTACCGAATAGGGTGTGCCAAACAAGTCAACATTCCCACTGTATTTCTGTGACCCAGTTTACTCTATATATGGTCAACTCGACTATTTATATGATTAACTTTTTACTTTTTATTTGGTCAGTTAAACTTTTTATATGGTCAGCTCGACTTTTCATATGATAAACTTTTTACTTTTTGTATGGTCAGTCGAACTTTATTCATGGCCAACTCGACCTTAGATATGATTAACTTTTTACTTTTTATTTGGTCAGTTAAACTTTTTGTATGGTCAACTTGACTTTTCATATGATAAACTTTTTACTTTTCTAATGGTCAACTCGACTTTTTGTTTCGTCAACTTGTAACTTTTTACATGGTTAGCTTTGTGACCTCCATATTGCATAGCGCTTGCATCTCCTAGGTGTGTGCTATAGCTAAGCGGGCTCTCGAAGCCATCGAAAATCTTTAAAATAATGATATTAGAAATTTGGCAGCGTTGACGGCTATCAACAGAGCTTCGACTTCCTCAGTCGCATCATCAAGCCCTTCGATTGCAACAGAGCTCTCACGCCGATTTCCAACTTTTAACGCATGTGGGGCGACCGCAACTAGAAAACGAACTTCGACGGGTACTTTTGCAAGTTTCATTTCCCGAGGAAACAAGAATAGGTATCCCAGTAAAACAATCTTCCAGAAAGACTTGTTGATAATTCCAAACCTTAATACAAAGAAAGTACTAAGTCACGTCAACAAAGTGAAGCTCGAAGAGACTAGGGCCTGATTATCTACCAGTTTCCTTTCAGTAAAGACTGGACATACCTAGACATCGAGAGTCAACCTCCAAGAGAGGATAATATGTTTGAATACCACAAGGTAACTTATTTTTGGCTCCTGCTCGATAAGACAAGTGACAAAGGGTAAAACATATTAATATTGAAAGTTCATGTACATTTATTGTAAGTCAAAAATTCAACAAGAACAAATAGATAGGGTCTAGATTTTTAGCGGCTAACTAAGTCGTGCATTCTCTGGGAGGTGTTGATGAGACCTGCTTCATTTTTATTATTGTAACTCTATCATTTGTAGGCTTGTTATGGAATCTTACTAACTCCTTAACTAGCGAAGAGAGTTAGAATGGATGGTTAAAGAATAATGAAGCTCTCAGGTCAAGGGAGTGTGTACACCAGATGTCTGGAGCCCTTTGAAGAGGAAGATAGGGATGAAGATGACGAACAGCCTATCATACCATCCTTTAGTCAATGTGCTGGTTACCTCTCAGAGACCCCTGTTAATGCAAGTTCCTCGTCATTGCAGCATCAAAACAGTGAAGCTGAATCCACACCCCCAGGGAAACTACTTATCTTTGGAGATACAATGCTCTTCTCGTCAGAAATGGAGAACAATCAGTCGGTTAATAATTATTAAGCTGTAGTTAATGTTAATCAAATATCTCCACCACCTTCACCATCAAATAATGGTGAGGTGCCTTCTAAAGTCATAAGAATTCACAGGTCACTTGTGAGGGCTGATATGCTTAAGATTCTTTCGGATCCTTCCATTTTTTCGCATGCGACAATGATGAGATGCTTGACTTTTTGTCAGCATTTGACTGTAAGAGAAAAGTCACACACAGCAATTTAGTAGAAATCATGAGAGAGATTGCTCACAAGGAGATAGTGCAAAAACCCCAATATGTGAGTGACTGCTGGCAGCCAATTCTTGCTCACCTTAAGATTTATTTCCCAGATGTAAAATCATTACATCAGTTGTATTCTTCCATCACACCAAGTAATGTCAAAGTTATTGGCCTACTTGAAGCTAGCCTGGCTACAGCAGCTGAGACAGAAACACTGGCCCACCTGAAGAGACTCATCAGGGGGTTAGACGAAGCTAAGCTTACCAAATTTTGAGATTTACAACTGCATATCCATAATCATGCCTATTACAAGCATCAAACACACTTTCAACTGCGGCATATCTAGAGTGTTCATTTTCAAGCACTCCAGCTGTATATAATTGAATAGGAAAAAATATTTTTTTTCAGAAGACAGTGGATGATTTTCCCGCTGGCTCTTAAATTCCTATAAGCACTTATTGATTATGGGGACGAATGTGTAATGTAATGCAAATAAATGCAACTCATTAAGTGGATCCAGTAGCTCATTGTCCTCCGAGCAAGAAAATGTTCTTTTCCTAACCTTAATCAGAGACAGGTTTAGGATTGATGCCACATCAGTGAAATCTTCACTGTTCCCAAAATCTGTGGTGAGTAACTGAATGGTCTCTGCAGCAGTTCACAATCGATCAGCTGCCTGATCAACATCCTCAAAGGACAAGTTATTGCATCTTTCTGCCTCTTCGAATGAGGATACTGTCGAAAGCAGTATCTTTAAATTGTCAAAAAGTAAAAACAGCCCGTAATCGTTGTGTTCTCCGGAGGGAGCATAAGCAGCTATCTTTGTTAGTGATCGGGCACAATACATTCCGGAACGATTCGAAATCGACCATAAAAAGTAAAAAGTTGACCATATAAGAAGTCGAGTTGGCCACATAAAAAACTCGAGTTAACCATATAAAAAGTAAAAAGTTGACCGTATGAAACGTCGAATTTACCATATAAAAAGTAAACTGGATCACAGAAATGCAGAGGGAATATTGACTGGTTTGGCGCCCATGCATATCTTACTTGACATGTTCGTTATCTTCGATTTCCGAGATGATCACCATGTTGTGACGTCACGTGGTTATCAAATCTGATAACTATCCCGGACTGATCACGAACAAATTAAGAGGGTAATCAGGACTCAACCGAAACTTGCCTTATTTTCAGTACTACTTAAGTCCTGTTCATATTTTTTCGTATTCACTTTGAGGACTACAATAGATTAACACGAAGAACATGAAAACATTGACACAAAGTAAGTAAATTAATTTGTCCTACTGAGACATTAGTGGTGGCAAAATTTCTGGAACATAACTTTGAACATAACTCATTGATGGGTGGTTGGAATTTATTTTCAACAATTATTTCGTGCAGAGCAGCGCTAGAAAGAGTTTCTTCACTGTCGCACTAGCTCTGCTTCCATGTCCACCTCTGTCTATCAGTAGGCAAAAATTTCCATTTATTTCTAATTGCACTGAGCATATCATAGTTTGTAGTGAAACTGTACTTTACTTTAACAAGGTTAACAAATTATTGATTCGTTTGGAATTTTCCACTATAAGGTTTGAGAGGTCTTTAACTTTTGCAATATCTGCCTTATACCATGACATAAAATATTGGCTCAGTTGCGATTTTTATTTCATGATTGCTCCATCTTATGGCGTCAGTTTTGTCTTCACCTATTTAAGTTTTGCGATGCTGTTTAACTTGAGTTCTTTGGCTCTATAACTGTATGATAGTAAGAACTTAAACCGTCTGGGGATGATATTCCACGGTGCTTTTCCCACTGTATTGAATCTTTTTTCCCACGCAGCTTTTCAAGGCTTTATTCATAGAATCGAACTTAATTATTTCTAATCCAGCTTCTTTCCTGTCTCCGATTCACGTATTCTTCTAAAATATTTTATGTGGTTTATTTTT